GGGGGACTACGCGCTTTGGACGCTCGACCCTCTGTAAAGCATACACTCCGGATAATGATTTATCATGGTCGATATATGTAATCACATGGTCGATTCATCATTTTCATGATTTATACAATGGTCGATACCAGTATTTACATGGTTTATTTCATCGCTTTCACGATGTATGTCATTTTCAGCTTCATTAGAGTGCGGCATGGTAAGGTTTTCATTTCAGAACTGATCTATCACAGCTGTTATCGATGCCGTATAACAGCTTCTAGTGCACAGTTATTCGTTTTCGGTGATGGTACGGGGATCTTAATTGTCATACATCATTAACCTTTTCACCACTATGGACCATGATGGACTCATCCAGATCAATACGTGGTAGAGTTTACGAAAGTTACATAGGGATGAAATTCCTATTTTGAGACATACACAAGGATTTTTGTATAGGTAGCGCGCAAGTGATGCTCATATTTGTTTGAAGGGAGACAACTTTAACACAAAAAACATAGGTTTACTCTATAAAGGTATATGCATTATTTATTTTCAGAATTGAATAAAATATTGTGAATGTGAGCAGACCCCAGTTTTATGGAAGTAAGTATAATACTTTCCCTTGGTGGTCAGTCTGGTAGCGTAGTGGATAGCACAATCGCGCATCACCCAGACAGCTGCAGAGGTTCGATTCCCAGATCGGACGTGAAAAGATATTCGGTCACCTGCACGACCATGTTCTCTGTGTGCGAACGTTTCCTCTCCCAATAACACGGCTTTTGCATATGATCAGGATCAACAACGGTGATGAATATAAGTTGAAAAAAACGTTGTGTATTTTTCAAAAATTGTAAAACGAAGTTTATATTTATTTATATTTACCATCAAATGGCTTTTTATATAACCCTACCAAAATTCAGTTGGCATTCATATAGGATATGAATGCCATAGACTGATTGTTGACGTCATTATTATTGTGACGTCATAATTGTTGCGTTGGAGACTACTGACCATCCCCGGGCGATGGCTGTTCTATTCATTGAACAAGCATACATGATACATACATTATTTGAACTAAATGCTGAATAATAATAAGTGTATTTGAACTTCTTATGAGATGAACAGATTCCAAAAATGGTAAATATAAGTATTGAACTGCGTTCAACTGTCATTCATAGGCAGTATGAATTCCAACTGGACAAATGCAAATTCAATGAAGCGCGCTAGCTATGAATGTCAACTGAAAACAGTTCAATGCTTCAATACGACTACACCCTAAGAATAGCATTGAGAAAATGAAGTTTTGAATTATTTCTTAAGCTTAAGACTGTGTTAATAAATGCAATACATGTAATCTTTGTGATAAACGTAAGTTAAGGGATTTTCCTTAATATGGAAAGTTCGTGAAATCGGGGACTTGCTTTCTAACACATGACTCGACAAAAATGAAATAAAATATCAAAGGGGGTTATCGAGTGCGTATCCTAAGATTACACACATATACAAATCTAGAAGAGTAGCGAGTGACAGATTTGTGCAGTATTTGTAATAATGACGGATCGACACCTGTTATAGACATGAAACAATGATGACATGCATACTTTTTCTCGTTAATGCATTCATTAATATTCAGAGGTTTCGTCAACCCGTTACTGTCACCGTTTTAACTATACGTGATGTTATGTGTGGAATGGTGTAAACGCCATATAGGGATTGAACGGCATTTTTTAAATATTTATGCCGGTATGAACGCATTTCGGTTTCTTGCATACTCAATAAAGCCCGCTACATATGGCAAATACGTATGTAACTGATTTGCGTTCATATCGGCATGAACATTGAAAAATTCCGTTCTTACCATATATTTACATTTTAATTTTTATACTTATTATTGATCTAAATGTAGGCTTTCCCTAATATGCACACGGGATTTCTGAAACAGTCTCACATCACCAAAATGTTTGCTTCAAACGGTTGTATTGCGTTATTCGAGGCGTGAGGGGAAGCTTCAAAATGACGCTGATCAAATTGCGTTCATAGCCCCATGAACGTAATTTCTTCTGGTAATGCTGATAGAGGAATTTGCAGTGTAAATGTAAATAGATTGTTTTAAGAAAAAGGGTAACAACATGTTATGTTTTTTCTATTTACGCTGTAACTGCCGTGAAATTATTGTTAAAGTATTCAAAAGAAATACATGAATTCCAAAAAAAGATCATATGTTGCGCATCATTTTACAGAATTATAGTTGCTCGAAATTTGAATGCTTGTAACAGTTCTAACACACACACAAAATGAGAACGATACTATTGCTGAGCAGCACTTATCAAAAGGAACTGGACATTTTCATCTCATCGTGGGTTGCAAATCTTTCACATACAATTTATTTTTCTATGAAGCCTTCCTTCTTTTTTAAAGCTGACTAATGGTATAAACTTAATATCACAAACGTTGGACACGGGATAGAACGTCTGGACTGCGAAAATAATTCACCTTTAATTCATTTTTACTTGTATGCAAAAATCAACAAACACATGAGTACATCAAATGGGTTCTGTCTGAACCCTTTTAATATGAACATGATTCAACGGAAACTTAGTGTGCCGTTTCAAAAGTTTTAAAAAGTTACGGTCACATGGCAGGAACCAGTTACTGATAACAAAAACCAGAGACGATTCCATTGTTAGAATGTATATTGTGATTTGATTGAACTCATGATTTCGTGAAAAAATCAATACGAGTTGAAAATGTCAACAATGTTTGTCGTAAACAAATAGATCATCACTGGTGCAAATTTCAAACGAACTGATCTTACATGGCCATAATTAATTAATCATCGTCCGCTGTCCTGCTCCTGCGCCAGATATGGGTTCCTGCTCCGTGACGGCGTCGGAACTTCCGGTGATCGTTTAATATTGGCACGCGTCGGGGAAGGAGACAAGCGAAAGGCTTGTTAGCGTCGTCAAATCCAGCTTCTATTCGACCGTTCGAGACAATGAATCCACAGTGGCTGGCGGTCAGCACGTGGGAACCGCGACTAACCTTCACGCTCCAGTTGATTCCGATTCTGACCTCTAGGAAGTTCGATTTGAGTTGTAGTGACATATTATTTGGATACATTCTGATGAATTTCGGTCCGGAATTGACAGTTACTTCACCTCTCTCGTTCTGAATGATTTTGACTCCGTTGATTTTGACAACACACCATCCGTTTTCGCCGTGTTCAATCTTTGCTTCCTCTGCCAATTTCGCCGCGCGTTGTGCAATGATATCGATGTCGCTGCAGCTATCTGACGAGAAGAGGAAGTCAACAGATAGGTCATTGCGCATGTCAGCGAATTCAGGTTCTGCTTCTTCGATGTCCTCGTGGTCAAACTTGTAACATTTGAAGTTGTTAGCGAATGTAATATGCTCTGTGGTCATCTTCACTTTCCGTTGCAGGAACACTTCAACTTCAACGATCTCAAGGTCTTGTGTGATCCGCGCCGCAGGATGGAATACGTAACTCTCCGTCCCTTCGCTGTTGACCAGTGCCACCAGCTTTTTCTTGTGGTTGACCACACGTATCACCTGATCTACGGTCATCTCTACGGTGAAGTCGTGACGCAACAGCACCGTCATCAGACCAGCCTCGGACAAGTAAATCGCTGGGTACCGGAAGTCGGTTGATTGATTACCGTTCGCTGTGATAGGGTACTGCTGTTGCTGGTTACTGATGCCAAACTGTGAATCTGTTTGTTGAAACGATGGCTGCACTTGATAAAAATCTGGATTTTGTGTCGTAGAATTTCTTGGATATACAGGATATGCTGATTGTCCGGGACCGAATTGTGGTCTTGGTTCCAGGAAGAATCCATTGCTTGTGTATTGATGTGCAGGAAACATATAGGTCTGTCCCTGGAAAATGGTTGTATTCCTGGGGTCTGGGTCATATGCCGGGACGTGGGATTTTTCATCATATGATAGAGCTACGGGGTGAGATCCTGTTGTAGGGCTGGAGCTATCACCATTGCTATAAACTGTATACTGATTGTTGTAGTTTTGCATGGGAATGAATGGTTCACATTCCGGATTCAGCGAAGAGTTGTGAAACAAAGGGAGGATATCGTTCGAGTTTGTTACAGGATCGACAGGTTTCTGTTTGTTCGATGAGCCTGAATTCGATTTTGTAAACGATACTTCCAATTTCTTAACTCCAGTCTGATCGACATTCCCTTCCATTGAAACTATGTCCGCAGATGTGTCGACTTCGTCGGCCGAAGTAGGAGATGTGTACCAATCTGTGGTTACTTCTCTTGGATTGTCACATGGTGGGCATGAGATCTCTGCGTCGCCATCTTGGCCGTCATAAGGAGACTCATAATAATTGTGCATTTCGTTTGGGTTCTTCATGTCGCTTCCACCAATCCGCTGACTAACGTGAATTGTCAGACTATCGGCTCCAATGTTGACCTGGTTTTCCAGTCCATTCGGTGCCGGACACTGAGACTCCAAGGTGTCCCCGAAATTTTGCACGTGATTCTCGGGAAAATTATCAGTTAGTGGGGAGACATCAGCCACGGGATACTCATATCCGACATTGTAACTTTGAGTATGCGTCGTATGGACGTTAGCGTAGTAGTGAGGCGAAAAGTTGACAGTATTTGTATCCGACATCTGGTATGATCTTTCACTGAATATACCGGACGCGGTGTCAATGGACGTATCGGGTACATAATTAGACTCGGTAGCGCACACAACGTTTGGTCCACCGCCAAATGGGCTAAACACGGCATAAGAGTCGAAATATTCAACCTCGCCGTCAAGATCTTCTAAATCTGTCAACGTTGGATCGTTGCTAACAGTATGAATTACATTTTCCGGTGTTTCGTCAGTTGCGACAGTGATCGAATCCGAGTTTGTGTTTGGGTCTGGTTGAACACAGATGATATCAGCGGGGGAAATTGCACTGATTGACGAAGTTTGGTCCGTAGAGACCGCTTCTTCAGATTGCAGTAATTCTATTACTCTATTGAGGGTCTCACGAACAGATTTATCCACTTCGAGATCTTCATCCGCTTCCATAGTCAATACAGATGTGGCGCTCCCGAAGTTTTCTTGGCTCGTTTCCTCTTGTGCGTCAACAAAAACATCCTTTTCCCAATCGTCTATTGTCATATCCTCTGATCTTGAAGTCATCGAGTCGATGTAATTGTCAGTTTCATCACTGCCGTCATTTGAATCGTCGCCTTTCTGTTCGGTCTGTGTCGAACTTACTGTTTGTCCGACGATTATGCAAATACCATCTGTATCTGTATCGCTGTCCTCGTCATTTTCATCGAAAATATCGTCGTTAACGATGACATCGTTTACGATTTCAGTTGCGATGCTGTAAGCCACCACATTTGCTTCGTGAATGGCTGCCATTGTGAGAGAGTCACGTCTTCAGGAAAGCTGTTACCTTTGTTACTAACCATATTGTTGACGTTAACTACGCACATAATCTGTGACGTTTTCAACATAACAACGTAACAGTTATTTGGGGAAATGGTAACGTCGTTGACTTTAGCGTTTGTTACGTTTCGACCATTGTGCGTCGTTAGGCAGAGGTCAATTGTAAGCAACAGAGTCATGGTAGGATTAGTTCCGGAAGATAAAACTCCATCTTTGACCGTCTTATTTTTCCTAGTAGCGTAAGCAGTTTTTTTCAAGTGGGCCATTGACCAATTGCAGGCCTACATATACTTAGCATATACTCACATGTTGATTGCCAACTTCCATTTGAACGGGCCCCGTTGTGCTCGTAGGCTATCGATGTCATGAGCACCTTTACTAGTACTGAGCTTCTAAACACGTTTTTTTTAAATAAGTGTTTATATTTGTTTCTCTTGGTTATCATTTGTAAAATTATTGTTTGTCTCCGCCTCAGTTTATGTTTTGTGTAATAACGTGATATAAAAATGAAATGAAGAACGATAAGCGGGAGACACCTGTAGGAACTCCTGAGCCCGTATTCATGAAAACTTACTCATGCTCACACTCATATTCTGTGCTCAAGCCCAATTTCCTGTTCCGGTGATGGATTGATAAAAATCAAAATTTCTCAATGAATTTGAAGAATTTTGAAAAGACTAAACGCCAAATACCTATTTGATTATATATACACTTGACCTTTTGGCTGTTTCAAATGATTTAAGTGAGTTACAAGAAAGTTGGCTCTAGCATAGAAGCCATGCTTGAACACGAGAATAGTTTCGTGAATACGGGTCTAGTGCTGTTATTAGAAAAAAAGGCCGGAATTTGTCGTTGAGGTAAATGCCATTTGGGGACAACCTCTCATGTGCTTCCAGTCAAATGCTGATTTGAAATTAACGATACTAGAAATACTTCTTAAAAATGTATGGCAACTAGGGCAAAACTGTAATCGTATGGTATTGATTATTCAGTTCATCTGCCAAAACTTCAATTTTGTTTGTGTTTTACGTCCTATTAACATCTATGGTCATGTAAGGACGTGCCAGGTTTTAACCATTTGGCCACCGTGGCCCCCTTCAAAGCTTCAAAAACTTCAATGTCAACATTGTATCAAACAGATATTCTGTTTAAAAATGCATGTGTGTGTCACTATGTAAGGGTGTGCCCATGATTGTGAATGCATTTTCTTCTCTTTCAATAGTGTTGAATTGTACGTGTATTGTTCGTTATTCCTGTAACTCTTCATTTCTGGAGGAAATAAAGGAAATAATAATAATAGACACAGATATGGTGCTGTCCTTTTTATACAGTCAAAACATTTTTTAAATGTTGCAGAAAAAAAGCACTAGCATAATAAATATCTTGACCATTAGCGCAGAGGATAAGTCGTCCCTGTTTTATGACGGAGAGGACCGAATCCCGTACCAAGCGGCAGATGGAATATTGTATGAAAAGATAACGTAATTATAGGCTCATTCATTTCTTTCTTAAGTAACTCGTTGCTATTAAAAGACACGCAACCCCCAGTCAGAAAAAAATAACTGGAACTCTTCTTCGTCGGAGAGACAATACAGATAGCTGCTTGGTCCCTCTAACTTGAAGTTTTATCGCTTAATTTTTAGAAGTCGTTCAACAATATTTCATGTAAATAACGTTACCTTAAACCATCGAACTATATTATATCTAAGTCACATATTCCTCCCTTTTTTCTGTGATGTAACAATTATCAATCATCAATTATTTTGTTTGATTTACGTCCTATTAACATGTACAGCTATGGTCACGTAGATGGTGCGAGGGTGCCAGATTTTGATGGTCGATGAAAACCAGAGAGCCCAGAAAAAAACCCACCGAACCCGAGAGCCAATGTTGAAGGACTAGTGATCGAAGGCCACAACGGCCACAATAAGTGGGATTCATTCAAACGCTATACATTCACTTAACCCTGTGTAACTTTCGACTGTGCCAAACTAAAGTGGAACTCTTTAAAGTGGAGATGGATTTCACGGTAGAGTAGGATACATCCTTAAGGCAATCGTAACTTCTCGGCCAATTCCGGCTAGGCGCGGTATCATAGCCATGATTCCGCGCCTAGCCGGAATTGGCCGAGAACTCTTCTGAGGTTTCAATCACGTTCAAGTCTCGTTTTGATCTGGTGTAATGGGTTTTTGTAATATTTAACAAATTATGATCAAGTTTATTAGCAAACACGCACCTGAAAAATATGTCAAAAAACTAGATGCCTGTTGTTTGTAGAACTTATTTTACAAGAATTTAAAAAAATTACCAATTTGGCGGCCGTTTTGAAAATGTGTATTAATGTGTATTTCTTGCGCTTCAAAAAAGGCCAAAATTTCACCTTTTTTGACACTAGCTATAGATTGATCACTTAAATTGTCATTGTGTCGCCATTGTTAATTGTAGCAGGTTCAATTTTGTTGTACAACTTTATAATGTTCAATATAATAAAAATAATATGCAACAAACTGGAAAATTATACATTATTTATATATTTTTTACATATTTAGTGTAACTGAAACACTTTTGATTTTTGACTCCGAAAAAGGTAAAAAATAACACAAATGATAATGGGACAAAAAAGAAGCACACTGACCCCCCATTTTTGTAGATGTTTTAGAAAGAGAAACACATTTTCATTTAATTCATTAACTATCAAAAAAAGTTTAATACCAGAACTTTTTATATCAAGCGTTTAATCTGCAAAACAATGGTAAAAAATGAGTATTTTTTCATTAAAAAACAGGGGGTAGGGGTAACTAAAATAGGCTTTCTAAGTTATAAGAATAAGATTAAGACATTTTCCTTCCACAATTTAAAAGAAAAAATATTTTCATCAATTCTACAAACATTCATACATATCTGATAACACACTTGGAAGAAATTGTATGAATTTGTTCTGCAAATGGTCAAAACCAAAAAAAACACCTGAAATCATGTGTTGTGTTAAATTGGTAACTTTGACCGATCATAGCACAAAAACGAACACACCGACATATAGTTTTTTTTTGCATTTTCTACTAGCCATTAACTCCTTTTTCCAAAATTCCATATAAGAAAAAAAGTTTAATACAGGACATTTTTGACTTCTCAGAGGTGTACATCCTTAATTTGCGTAGTCCCGAAATAACTTATTTGGCCAATCTCCTTTCTATTTTTATACGGAGAGGAGATAAAAACAATAATAAGGAGATAGACAGTTATGTATCCGACTTAATTAATTTCACTCGACGTCTTCCCAGTAAAAACATTAGTTGTATTTAGACGTTATGTACCTCTACCCCCTAGTGCTGTCAAAGGGCGATAACTCTTCAATGCTTGTCATGCTATACCTCGATCATATATTTAGTCAGTTATATGTTGTGGTAGGTTTACATGTAACCTCAGTTAATCCGTGTGGTGTTTTTTTTTAAAACATTATGTAACATTCACCTCGACATTTTCTTCGAATCTCTCAATGAGTTGGTGACAGTGTTTACCTCAACAGCACCACTTGTTTAATAAGAAATACATTCTCTATGAAAAACCGGATACTAACTAAATTACTACAACAAATCAGTACCTATCGCGCATCATAGAATATATTTGAACGGAACCGCGTTGCAAATAACATCATCTATGTTGAAAACACGCATTTAATCCAATTCTTTTTAATCTATATCTCGTCACAAAATGAAGGAGGGAGCATAACCGTCGGTCTTTCCGTCCGTACGACATTGCGCTGGGACTTAATGTATTTTGGCTCCTTTACTATACCACTAGAAATTCAACAGTCAAATTTCATAATTAAACGGTTCAGTAAAGTACTACACAATTATTTCAAATGATGGTCACTGTGACCTACATTTCCCGCTTCACTGACTTCAGATAGGATTTTAATGTCGCTACGTTACCATCAACGGTAAGCAGTCATTAATGTTTAAAAACAAATCTTAATTAGTCTTAATTACAATTGTTTTGTTTTTCTATTAATTAAGTAATTGCTTTATTTTTCTTTCTGTTATTTGCTGGCATTTTTCTTATTGAAAACCTAAGTCGTATCAAAATGCTGTCTTTACATATACACTTTGTATATTCACGGACTTAGATAACAATACTAATCTAATTCCGTGGTATATTTCACAACTGTTAAAAATCTCAATGTTCGACCAATGTTACCGGTTTGGAAGTGTATATAGATACCGTTTTGGGATTCACTTTTAAATATTGACTCATGCGTGGCAAATGTAGGGAAGGGGTATCGCGAAGGGTGTTGTTCCATTCTCTCACACGAGGGAAATTATAACCAATTTAAGTGACCTGTAGTGGACCATCAACCTTGACCTTTAAACTTTAGGATCTGCCGTCCCTGTCTCAGATGTTCGTTTGTTATTACACCTCTGCGCAGTCTCTTGGTTTGCGAACTTTTAAAATGTCTGAAATTTTCCCCATATAAATCTATAAGTGGGGTAAATTTAATGATATTTGATTCAAGATTACCTGTGTATTAAACTTGATTATGTTCATAAATAACTTTGAGAGATACTGGGTGGACGGGTGGAGTGGATACCACACGCGCCTTTCACCAAGGCGACCGGAATCGATTCCCCGACCGGACGTGAAAAGGTCTGGGGTCACCTGCCCGACCAAGTTTTTTTTGTGTCCCTCCCACAATAAGACACTGCGCGCTCTTACATCCAGACCAACCAGAGTACTTCATCAGTAATATAAGTTGTAATAACTTGCTTCGAATTGTTTTAAGAAAATAAAGTTTCTATGATATACAAATTAGATATTGATGATTTAACCGTAGAAATCGTATGACGGACACACGGACAGACCGTGTGAGAATACAAAATTACCACAAGGCTAAAACTTAAGTAACTCACATGCATGCATTATTAGCAGGACAGAATAAAATCTCAAACCCCCTCTATTACGTCTTTGCGTATTGCAGAGTTATCTTCTCTTATGATCCGGTATTGATTGTTACGTCATCATTTTTTGAGAAAACGACGTAATTTTCTCACACAGACCAATGACGTAACAATCGATACCTGTTCCCAAGAGAAGATACTCTGCAATACGCAAGGACGGAATATCTATTACAGTGCCTTTTAAGGGGATCTAACCAATGCCGAATTAACGACTAGACCAGGCGGATATTTAAAAGTTTAAAATTCAACCATGGAATAAGATTGTTATCCGTGATTCTTTCAACACATATATATTTCTATTGATCAACGTTAGTGAACGTTTTGTTATTAAACAAATATTAAAAAAGCAGAACTCAAGTACTTTTTTTATTTTACTGTTCACTATTAATATTTCGTTGTATTAGTACTAATTTAAATAATTGTATTTCCTGGGATAAAGCATTTGTGTTGGACAATAAGAAAATGTATATAATTATACGAAATTATTTACTTACAAGTTTAAATGTAAAAGGTAACATTCGAAAATCAAATTTTCATACGTATTTGGGTACTGTTACGTAAACTGGAAATAACTGGTACAGTAATTAACAATGCACTGGTTTATGATCGATATTCTGCAATATAACGCATTGATATTTAAACGTTAAGTACAATCCAGTAACTGCACATGTGCACCTGGGTACAAAGCATAATGTCGCCAAAAATAGCACCTGTAACATTTAACTAGGTCAAAGTGATTATTAACGAATAATTTTCAAAAAATAAATGCTACCTGGGTTATTTGCATGAACGATTTCAACAATATTTAATGTAAGATGTAATGTAGAATCTTGTCAACATTAAGCTAGGTTAGGCACATATTATTTTATTTCATTTGCTGAACATTCTCTACAACACTTAGACTAGCTTGTTTTTTTTTCAAAACAATTAAAGAAAATCGTGTAAACTGTCATAATATACATGATGGATTTTTCTATGGCTATCTCGGGTAGCAAAATCCTATTTGTGCAAGAGTTATGTGCCCTTGATTATACGAAACTAAGCTCAACGTGCCCCAAGCCGCAAACCCATTCAGCTGTTTATCGTACACAGCGTAGTATGCTTGTATATTGTACAGAACATGATGTGAGCATGTGAAAGTTCGAAAAAATATACCTCGTACATCGGGGAAAATGGATATCGTTCTCAGATTAATGACGGGAATTATTTTAGTGTGTTTCCCAAAATATGGACTGTTTGCCTCTTCGACAACGGGTAAGTGAAGCGTTTGTGTATTGTGTTTATAACGGGGTAGCTACTGTCAATGTTTTTGAATATTGATTGTCTTACGGTACATGGTAAGCATGAGTCATGCACGCTACAAACACATAATGATAACCATCGTCGCTTCGATCATGACACAATGATAGTCCTTAAGAAGAGCGGAAGAGAAAAAATAGAAATCTTACTGTACTCTGTTGGGCAGTAGACAAAAATATTTTCTGGTTTCTCTTTGTGCTTGGTATGAATTCATGTACACAATTCTTGTATGCCAAACTGCAAGTATGGTACAAGAGCATAACTGAGACACTGTGAGCAAGATAGGTAGGGCTTAAAAGGGTCTTATAACCATGTGGGAATGATTATAGGGAAATATAGTCCCGAATGAACCTTGAAACAACGAGCATTTTGAGGAGCTGGCTAGAAATCTCATGATTATTACATAAAACAGGAGTCTTGTAATTTAACCAAAAATAAGTCTTTGACCTCAGAAATACTGCCAATATACAATAATTTTATACTATTATATCTGTTTAAATCTTTTTGTAATTTAAGACATGTTTTTTTTTTAATTTCAAAATGTTTTAAAGAAATAATTAAATGAAAGTAATTAAAGATTTAAATTAAAAATGGGGAAGTCACTGCAGCCCCCAGGTTACGTAGGGGAGGTTAGCAGACAAATCTGATTGCAGAGAGGAACAAGAGAAGAAAGCACAATATGCAATTCCATTATGACCAGTGATTTTTTTAAGGTTAATCAGGGTCTTATAAAGGCCCCTTCCCCCAGCTAACTTTTGCTGCTTTTTTCCTAAAAACAATGCAAAGAATCACATTATTTACCAAAATCATGATTCAACAGGCACAGGCCCCTGTGGAAAGGAAATAGAAAAATCACTGATGACAGACTGGGTCCTTAATCCTGGAAAGGAAGTTTACACCCTATATCTGTAACCATTGAAATGCATTATTTCTGAGATTCTCTTTCTCACCGGATTCGACAGAGTTTTAAATACACATGTCACCTATGATGGAGGATGATGTGGATACATACTTCTGGTATACATTGAAAATCTGAGAGATGCACAAAACAATATGCAAAAAGAAATGGTATGCAGTAACCGCATTGCGGTTCCAGACTAGACTGCTTTAAATTTCAGCCATTTCCATCCAAATTCACCAATGTTTTACTTCGACGAAGTTGGTTTGTGAAGGAGTTGGTTTGCTACTTATTTACTTTGACACCGGAAGCAAAGATGCCCCCGGCCCTATTATATCACGCGACCGCCAAATCATGACTTAAATTTAATTCTGGAAACTTGTATCTCGGAAACAACATATGATATTTTGTTAGAAATTTATAATTTAGTTTTGACTTAGATTTACATACATAATATACTGTCTTAAGTTCAGGCGACGACACATGTATGCATGTGTAGCAGAACTGGACTGGGTCGATCGTCGGCGACCAGATAGCTCAATTGGTAGAGCATCCGTCTAGAGTTCGGAGGGTCCCAGGTTCGAACCCCAGTCTGGTCGTGAATTTTTCCTCTCCTGTTATATTTTGCACCCAACGAAATATACCCACAGGAGGTGGTATAGGGTCTCGTGTGTCTTTGGGGTCGAAGACTTTGTTAAAGGAGGGAGGAATGTAGCGGAACTAGACTGGGTCGATCACTGGCGACCAGATAGCTAAATTGTTAGAGCATCCGTCTATAGTTTGGAGGGACCTGGGTTTGAACCCTGGTCTGGTCGTGCATTTTTCCTCTCCTGTTTCACATGTATAAAACTTTGATGGAAGCAGGTGTGCGCTTGAACAGGACAATGAAAAATATGTTGCCATTTCTACTGAACTGATTATGTGGGCTTATTTTCAGGCATTGACATATTGTGCGATAAATATTATTTTATAACAATAATCAATTTCTGAGTGAAGGAAAACCCAATGTTTACATTTTGTCACAAATTATATTTACTTCATCAGACATGTTTAAGCATCTGTTCTCATATAATATTATTGTGTCGGCAGACTAAAATGTAAATGTCAGAAATTCATATTGTGGGTAAAGTTGGTCAATCCAAAATGAATATAAAGACAAATATGAAATGTGAGTCAAACAAGTTATTGAGGAAATGACCTTTCATCCCTATGACATTTTTGCTTAGAAATCAGACAGCACTCTAAAAATATACAATACACAATTCTACTAAAAAATATACAGAAAACCTTTTTCTTGTTATAAAATGGAGGCAGTTATTTGTTTCATGGTCCAAATTAATAATAATAAACCTTGTATGACAGTTGTAGGGAAAAGGATTTTAAATGTATATTGATATACATTGTAGGTACTGTGCATAGGAATATTCCCTGATTAAAAACCACACCCATAGATCTGTGATTCGGATACAGGATTCAGTTGTTGGAAGTCGGGAAATGATTTTATCTTGATTCTGCATGGAATCCAATCATTTTTTTATTTTCAGTATTTTAAAACAATATTTTTCAGATGTTTTCACATGCAGTTTTCTTATATTGGAGCCATTATAATGAAAAAGAAATCCCCTTCAGGCTCTTGTTTTAGGTGGGGCCCGGTACCGTTTGAATTTCTCTGATGAGAAACCTACTCATTACACTTTCTTTTAATATTCACCTGTAGCATTATCCAGCCCATTGCATTGATCATAACACTAAACTAGTTTTTTCATAAAGCAAATAATTTTACTATAATACGTTATCGACTGCAATTCCTGGTCGGATGGTTGCTATCTGATGCAGAAGAAGCAGGCTGAGTAGTACCTGTTTTTACCATGCTTGATGATTCATCTCACTTTTTTATCACTTTCTCAGTCAAGATCAATACTCGTCAGTGTATGTATACATGTATATACAGTCACTACACACTGTTACTGACAATACAGAAACGAGGAGACGATCGGTTCATACACTTTTTAGTGTCCTTATAGAGGACACTTTTTAACAGTCTGGAGGCATGATCATGATGATTCAGAGAAATACAATGGAGTCTTTTTCTGTGGATTATATTTAGAAACTGAGTCTTGATTGGATTTATTACATACTCTTTACTTTGTTCCTAGAAAGTACTCGTGTACAAACGTGTTTAACTCATTCACCCCTGAAGACACATTTGAACTCTTCCAATTCAGAGGTTGGAATAGTTCATTATGGAATTTCAGGGGTGAATGTCAGTTAAGGTGACTGGTCCTACCAGATTGAAATACAAATCAAGGATTCAGTGCCAACTGTGGATATATACATGATGTACATTTCAGGTTCAGAGATGCAAAGGTGTTGGACCAAGTTACCAATATTCAAGGTCGTAAAACTCTACTACTACTAGCGTAACCTGTCATTTTATAGTAACATTCTAGGTTTAGTTCTACCATATAGTGACCACCTTCAACTAATTGACGATTTTGTCATGAAATTGGGTTTCTGGAGCACAAATGACAGACTTTGTACGTTAATTAGCAAGTCCTGAGCACCCAGTTAGTGAAATTGATGTTCTCCCCCCCCCCCCCCCCCCCCCCCTCCCGCTATTAAACAAAAACTGCAAAATAGTTAGGGTCCTTATGCAGGCTTTTAACTTGTTTTGATACTGATGTGTACAAAAAACACTAAAAAGCTAACAATCACTTAAATACAGTTGCTTAGCTGTAACTAATCAAATTCAGTGAACTTTAAAAAAAATCTGTTAGTTCTGAATGACATTATGTATATAAGTTAAGTTTTCATTACAAATTTTGTCCAATGTATACAGACTAGCACTCAGGGATTCAGAAATCTGCTTTAAAGACATATCTGGTTGTTTTGCTGCTTGTATTTTGTAGTTACTTCTGACAGTGGTATGCACAGCTATATAGCTATGCGTATTTGTATGGGAGAGGGCCATTCATCCATGTTTAGCATGTTTAACATGCTAGGTGTACAAAGATTTAGACTTCCCATGCCAGATGTGTTTCTTTGATAGACAGCCGGGCCACTGGAGGTGTACATTTCAATCACACAGGGTCATAAGTATGCTAGCTAATTTTAACACTTCATGGACAAATATAAAAAAACCAGGATACAATATTTTGGGTATTCGACATATTTGAAACCTAATCCTACAATCTGACTTAAAAACAATGATTATCAAGTTACTTTACATGAGAAAAATGTATTGAACGAGTCTTTCTATCGGGAGGTTTTTATAATTAACATTAGGCCACAAACCCAAGTTTATACAATGTGTTAACATGTTATACCATTTTTTTTAACTCTGAGTTCTTCATCAGAGGAAAACCTTGGATTTAAGAATGCAAGCTGAATAATAAACATTGACCTATTTTTCACTGGATACAATTTTAAATATTCAAATTCCAAATTGTGACATAAAAAAAGATATCAAGAAAAACTAAACAATTGTTTAGGCCTGTTTCATTTTGGGCATGGCTGGCTTATATATGAGAACATTGTAGAGATGTATAAATGTTGGACTCAGTTTTAAAGTTACGATGATGTGACTATATAAATATACACTGTATAGGTGCACCTGCTAGTGTAAACTCAGGTGAAAATCCTGTCTGTGAAGACGTCAGTATGTTATGTGATTTAAATCAACAAATACACCACTTATCCTTTGTAATCTGTCCTAAGATCAAACCTACACCCCTAGACAGGTCTGGCGGGGCGAGGATTAGTAAATCAGGTTGTCTTACCTGTCTCGGATCACACTTGTTCTATAAGATTGAAATAAAAATGTTGAGTCAATATTGACCCTGGCTTTGTATATATTTGTTCCAGTTACCGGTTTTGCTAATGGACAGTGAAGGGAATTTCGTATTTGATTAATTGTTATCCATAGTAAATGTTTACATTGACGTAATATATTGAATACATGTACCGCAACATGTATTTATAACAATACCAGATATTTACGCTTGTAGCTTGATCTACTATTAGATGTTCTTCAATACTGCCGCTACTGAATATATAT